AGCTCAAGTGATATGATTAATTTTTCTGCAGCGGGCGTTGCGGTAACATTAACCGGCAGCATAGGATCGGTTATCAATGATACGTTCTGTTGAATTCGGATAATCTCCCGGCAGACTCGATACCGCAACGATACCAGAGCTCGTTTAAAAAAGCTTCCCGCGTCCCGCGTGATTTATGTCTTTTTTCTTTGTGGTATCGTTATTCGATGGCATGACGACAACGGTGGTTGCACTTCGCAGTCCATTGCCAATGGCGGAGAATAAGCCGCGCGGCCATAAAACCGAAATTTCTAAAGCTCTGAAGTGTAACGTCGCCCATAAATCGAAATCGTAACTCTCTCCATTACCATTCAATACTGAGAAGAGAAAAAAAATAAATCGCACAAGTTCAATGCGCGATTTTCGTCCAAAAGAGCGCTCCGTTTCTCATAAAACTTTGCCACGCGTTTCTGTGACGTTAAGTGAAATAGCGGGAAGGAGATGGCCCGTAAAATTAATCGTACCTCGTCTGAGTGTGAGATGAGGTGAGAAGAGACGATTTCGTACGATTTCAACAGCTGTTACGGATTAAAGTGAATCGTTAAAATTGGAATAATATTATTGCAATTGGCAATATCTTAGGAATTACTTTCAAATAATTTTCAAAAACGTTTTTCGATCATATTTAATTTTTTTATTTCCCCAATATAACTATATCTATAATTAAATCATTATATATTAAAATGATTTAATTTAAGATTGATAAAAAGAGAACAAAAAAGAAGATAAAGAAACATTAACTTAGTAAAAATGTATTCAAGTATTTGTTTCGACAACTACAAAATTTAATTTAGAATTTTAATTATTTATTTGTAACATGACAAAAATAAATTTGAATCTTTATCTCTCTTGCTATATATTACAGAATGTTATTTTACTGCAATTACATTAATTAAAACATTAGCGTATCAATAATATTATGAAAAACATAATATTCTAGACACGTTAAAAATTTACATGATTTGAAGCAAAATATAAATCTCGCACTTGTAAAAATGCTCAGACGGGATGATCAGACACACCATTCAAAAGAGCAAAATTGAAGGACGAGTAATGAAGGAGTTATTCTGCAAGAACTCGCCACTGCCCTCTCGAGATAACCGGTACATCGGCGAAAGATACCTATAGGTATATAATACCCAGGCCGTAAACGAACTTTTTATTCTTTCTCCGAGAGAGTAATGCTCTGAAATGTACCGTTACATCGGCGAACTGCCGAAGAAGGGTCCGAAGAGGGCCGGCAGACATTTCACGGGCCGTTCAAACCTTCAAGGTACAAGGAAGAGGATGCGAGAGAGAATTAAAGTGTTACACGGTCTCTACTTATATCACGTTGATTCGTTACACACGCCTGTTATTCAGTTAATCTTCCGTAATGATGTTCGTCGTTATATAATTTATCGAAATATCGATACCTGATATCAGACGTCTGAATTGATTTTCTTTTTGGATTGTTTCATGAATGCGATATTACGTTAACTGAGCTAATTTCAAAATAAAAATCTGTTTTAATAAAATTTTTATATTCTATTTTTATGTTATATATACATAAAAAATATATGTGTGCTCTAAAAAAGATTTAGTTTCTCATCCATAAATAATAATGTAACGATTTGATTTTTAACGACATGATTACTCCTTCAAGCAAAATTAGATCAAGAAATTAAGTATAACTAATTAACAACAAAACTATATTGCTGACTATCGCTAAAATATAATCGTCCAAAGCAAATTTTACGAATACCACTAACTCGAAAGGATTGCATTGCTAGAACTGGAGTTCTGAGGAACGTTATGACAGGGTACTACAATTAGGTCAGAGTGTACAATCAGGAAGGTAGCCGGTTGAGGTTTAGGCGACACGATGCAATAGTATTTAGCTATATACACGGACAATAGTGGCGGCTTTAAAGGGACCGTCCCAGAAACGATAATGGAGCAAACAAAGGAGCCACGTGCCACAATGTGTAACTGGTAGATATGATGTCCTGTGAGATTTGCGTCTAATTTCAACAATGTATTAACTAACGAATATGTAATTTCCTCGACCAAAATTTAATTACATACTAGTATATGCAAATTTTGAATTGTTAATATTAAATATTTTGTCAAATAAATCTGAAATAAAGTTTCTATTAAGTCTATTAAAAATTCTGCGGACAATAAAATTCTGCTTACATTCGAAGCTTAATTTGTCAAAATATTATAATTATTAAATAAAACTGTTGTTATATACATCTTAGTATAAATTTTAACAAGAGAAAGATTATGTATTTTAGAAGTTACACGCAAATCTGAGAACAATATGCAACAATACGTGCCTTTTGCTACCTAATTTATACAAAGGACAAGCATATCACATACGGAAGTTAGAATTGAGACTGAAAGATATTTATATTATATCTTGTGTTCTTTAATTTCTCCCGTATTTCACAAATTATTTGCGGGCTAAATTACACGAACAACGCTTTGTTGCGCTGTATATTCTCATATTCATTGTTTCCTACTCTGTTGTTCGCAAATACATGTAACAAGTACTTTGCAATTAGTGCGATGTTAACCGGAAGAAACATTATAATTTCATATTTGCATAAATACTCCTTATGATTATAAGAATTCTTATGAATATAAAATTGCTTTTAACAGCAATAAAAATTAAGAATTTTAAATATCTTATACATAATATTTATTTTTCATCACTTAATGATGAATTATAGACAAGCTTTCCCAAAATCAGAATATAATATTAGATACGCAAAGTTTTATTTTTATATTATTTTTTCTTTCCTTCAATATTCTTTGTTAAATTCAAATTAAAATATTGATGAATAAAATGAAATGAAAGAACGTACTGGATAATGGCAAATTGTGTTCTCTATCTTCGCATTTCAAATTTATGTTTTTGTATTTCCAATTGTATGGAAACCGCTTTAGGGTTTGAGAATGTAAGGACTTCAAAATGTTAATAAATTGCAACGGTCGAACATAAACACAATGCTATGCTAGAATATATATATTTAAGATATTTCACTTCTTAAGATATTTTACTATGTTAAGAAAAAAGATAAACAATACCTAGCACGCGCAAGTATGCTAAAGCGCTTTTAAAAATTACTTTTTTAAATATTATTATAAATATCGCTTTTAATTTACTAATTACAACTAGCTATTTATATTGCTTTTTAAAATTAAGATATGAATCTGTATCCAAATTATTCAATTATTTAAACTCTCTAATTATGCTTCAAAAACGATTTATACCATATTTTTAAAATATACCATAGCTTTTTCCGTTTGTTCATTTTAATTTATATATAATTTAATTATAATTATTCCATAAACAAAGAAAATTAGCGGTTTTATGAAATTATTTTATATTACACAATAATTTCAAAAATCTATTTTATATTATGTATATAGTTTTATAATTCACACATATCATATATGCATAAAAATTATAAACATTTTCGTACGTAAAATTTTGAACAATCTGAGACAAAAAATGCTCAAGATTTGATGATGAAACATCAATTGTGTAATGAAACAAATCTGTAATCATAAAGATAAAGTTAAAAAGATATCAATAGAATTTTAAAGCGGAATTGATGAGTTGATCACAAAATTTTATAACCGTTTTAAAATACGCATATATCGGAGCAAAGCAAGAAAAATGACATTTTAAAAGAGCGATTTTATGTGTTCGAGAAATAAATATATGTATATAATTTTCTTATATATTAATACCTAAAAAACGCACATTCTTTGTCTTTAACTTTATATAACGATATGATGTTACATGAAGTGGTAACGAAACGAATATAGATGTACAATTTTCGTATAAATAAAAGAATCTCCTGATTGATATAAGTCCTTATATGAATGTTACTTGAAATATGATAATGATATTATCAAATCACGCAAAATATGATAAGGATATTATCAAATAATAAATACATAATAATTAAATAATAAAATTTACAATATCGTTAAATTCAATTCGTATTAATGTTTGTACAATAAAATCCTTCGATAATTGCGATCAATTGAAATGGTGAATAAAGTTCAATGCATGTTGAACATTGCATTCTAAATGATTAAAACCACAAACGTTTTGAAGATCCTTAGACACTTTGCTACAGCAAACAACTAATTAAATAATCTCAATGCGTATTATAAAACGGGATCTGTGTATGCTAGCTGTATGCAACATGTAAAATTAATTATAATATATATAAAATCCGTGATAAATAATGTTTAAAGAGAAATAATTAACTTCTTGTGATTACAGTTTATATCTCTTCTTTTATAAACTCACTCATAATAAAGTTTACGTTCTCAATATCTTGATTTGTACTCCCTTGAGTAAGTTCTTCCTTAAGTAATCGAAAGACACGAAAGAAGAAAAAGTGAAAAGTTTCGTAGAACGAAAACTTAACTCATTAATGCTAAGCGGCTGAATTAATGGCTGGGCAATCTAATTAATTTGTAAAGCTTTTATCTAAAGCATTTGGATCCGAAAGTTACGAAGTCAAAAGGAAATATTGCATATACTTCGTGAAAAATGTACAATCAAAATTAAAAAAGTTTTAGTCTTAATTTTTAAAAAAGTTAAAAGTTCGTAATTTATTGCAAATTTTCTAAAATCTAATTGAATTGTTATAAACGTTTTTAATACCACAAAACTATTCTTTATAATTTTTCTTCTTACATATATCTTACTTGCATCGATATTAGTGCACAGGATCATATATGTATATCGAAATAAATATTTTTTTTTTATTTTATACTATTTTTGCATTTGAAAATACGCGTTTCGTAATATAATGTTAAAACATATTTGACTATCAAACTCGAAGAAAGATAATTACAAATGTTTTTTTGATACGTATTTGTATCTCAGGTACACATTTAATGCAGTCCCAGATTGTCGAAATATTAATAGACCGGAAATAATGACTTACCCTATGTGGTGCCCGTAGAAGCCGATGCACGGCGGCGAGCTGATTGATTAGCGGCAAGGTCGCGCTGAAGGTGTGATCGGGAGGGTTAACATCCGGATAAAGGGTTGGATAACTGAATGGATCGACGTCGTTGAGATACTGCACTTGGCATGTGAAGAACATCTGGCGATACATTTCTTCCCGCCAGCGGGACCGGCCGAAATTGTTCGCAATTCTTCGTCCCCCGAAAGAAAAAAAGATATAAAATCTACCCCCTCCCCCCCGCCCCTTTTCACGTGCGCACGACAATCGTGTGCGCACGCCGTGACGCACTCACGCGATGCACGAACCGGTTCGACGTACGGCCGATTTATTTCGATTCGATCTGTCGGCTGAAACGAAAAAATGTTCCTTTACTCCCTGTCTTCCATTCGCTGCTGATTGCGCTCACCTTTAATTCTCGCTGAGATCTCGTAGCGCGTTAATATATGAATGACAGATTGCTCAAAGTCTAAACGATTCGGGATTCCTTCCAAATTTACTTCCTTAATATTAAAAAGTACTTTTTAAAAATATTTTTATATATGTTTCTGAATATGTGCGATATTCAGGGATATTTTATCAGAACGGAGTTTCGTTCTAACAAAAACCAAATTATTTACAGATAAATGTTGTTTATAAATCACGAAAAATATCTGCATATTCGAAACTTCTTAATTAAAATTCAAATAAAACATGACCGCAGTGCAAATATTTAACTATAGCTTGTTCGAACTTTTTTTTGAGCTGTTTTTATTATTCTATCTATTATTATTTCCTCAATTATTATTTTCCTCAACAAAGATCATGATAACTTTTTACAACTCATGTATTTGTCCAATTATAGATCCGTCTATTTACTTGTTTTTATTTTCCGAGCAATCTGCCAATCATAGAAAGATTCTTAGGCACACGTAGGAACCGCGACAGAAAAAACACGTATCAAGAATCATGCCGTGAAAGTGGCAACGTTAGAATCATAATAATCTAGGACTGCAGTTATCATCGTTAATGCAATCGGTAACCACATCGTTTTCAGGCGGTCATTGACCTTCAAATTTCCTTTCACTCGCTTATCGATTTGTTAAGTCAAAGCAGGAAAACCAACGGAAATGTTTTCATCCATTCAAGGTTTTCGTAATTAAAAATTTATTATGTTTCTTAATATCCTTTTTATATTTTTAAAGAATATATAAAAACATCATAAAAATTTTTTTATAATTTTTTAATTAATAATTTTTCTGCGTATTTTTAGATGATTCAATAATATAAATTTATTTTATATCATTTAATTATTATTAACTTATTTCCCTTACATTCAAGCTTGCAAATAAATACTTCGATAATTAAATTTTGTAAAATAATTGATTTAAAAATTTTAAAAATACGCTATCCCCTATTTCCATTTTTCCTAAAATAAAAAAAATCTAAATTGTCTTCAACCTAGATTATATAGATATAATATAAAAGAGCGCAAAACATATAACTGTGAAGATTACTTTGATTACAAAATGATTATCCAAGTATTGGTATCATTCACACATCTGTTAGTAAACCTTACACAAAGTTCGTAGTGGAATGTTGTAGCTACTCAATGTAGTAGAAACTTGCTTGTAGTTGATCGAACTTCAAAAATTTAAATCCTCAGCGCTACGATCTCCGCTGTAACATGTCGCGATTATACCGGGTGCGCGGGAAGAACTTGTTATAACTTATGAAAAAGCGCATCGCTATACCGGTTCTCACATGTTTACGCTATCACGTTACTATGCACTATTTCTAGTATGAAAATTTTACGTTGCAAGAAACAGTCTTTTTCTTTTAAATATACTAAAATGAAGAAAATACTACTATCGACCGCAGGTTTTAGTGTTAAAGACTTTGCGCGCCACTATCTTATTTTATAAGCCAGTAATAATAAATTTGAGAATATAATGTGGAAGCATTGTGAATATCCTGCCATTTTTTAATGAGATAAAGACTTGATAAAGGGAAGATTATATAAAGAAAAAATTCAGAGCCAACATTTTCAGTATTCTGTATTCTTTTCTCTTTTAACTGAGCAATGAAAATCGAATTATGCACTCTCGGCGCCTATGTGCAACATAATCTTTATTCATGCATCATGGACTCCCTTACGACATCGTAGACTCGTAAGAAAATCGGCGCCAGGCGCAAAATAAAATCGCGAGCTGTCATTATTAGTACGTGCCGACCTGTCTCGTCATCTCGCCTTTGCATTGTTCTTATTCGTAAATGAACCAGCTCTTCTTCCAACCGAGGAAAGAGACGGAGAAAGGACATAAAGAATGGGCGGGTGTGTGAGAGAAAGAAGGACCGAGGGGGAAACAAAGAAAGAGAAATGAACGAAAAGAGAGAAACATATTGAAGAATAGAAAGAGAGAGAGAGAGAGGGTACGAAGGGGAGATGTCGAGAAGAGGAAGGAGAGTTAGAAGGGAAAACGAGTCTGCGCCATACGAATGTACGTACTTGTGGTCGACGAAAGATTCATAATCAAGATGCAATCGCGTTGCGAGATCGAACTCGCGAGAATTCCCAAACTCGCCTGAATCAACAAATCTGCCTCTCGGAGTGCCACGGTATGTTAGTTGCGTTTCCCGACTTTTTGAAGTATTACATTTTGTATTTTTAGTACACGTATATGTATACCGCATTCTTTAAATGTTTTCTTTCATAATATCGAATCTCTAAAACTAACACATCAATTTTTAAATATTTTGTTTTGAAATATCTTAGATTTATACTAATAATATCTCTCGAAATTTGGAACATCTTTAATATATAATTTAATTTTTTCTTTTTCTTTTTCACTTTTCTAATATTCCATTATTAAACCAAAAATATTGAGATATTAAGCAACTGCCACTCAAGGCTACAAATCGCTAGAAGAAGATGATAAACGACTTTTCGAGCGGATCCAATAACGTGTCTGTTTCCAAGCGAGTTACATCGTTGACGATCACGCGAAAATTTCGCACAAGGCACAGGCGAAGGTGAACGACTGAAAAAAAAAGCGTGACGGAGCAGAGAACGTGAACCGGACCTATCGTCTGTACGCGTTAACTAACCTCCGAAATAAATAACATTTTTCAACAGCAGAGCATTAAACGACAAAACCAATCGAGATATATGACATTCCAGAAAATTACTGATCCAGACTCATAAACCAACCATGTAATATTCACGCGAAAGTATTTCGATCAGATGAGCCGCGTCTATTGATATGTCAAGAGTAGTGAAGTCTAACAATAAGTATGTAATACGATACTAACGGTCAATATTGTTGAGAATTGGAAATTGAAACATTAAAATTATGATTGATCGGTTTATTTACAATCTCTATATCTTATTTTGGTCACAAATATAAAGATAATATTATTTGTGTTATGTTAAAATCTATTTCGATTAGTTTATATATCGGAAAATAAAATATTTTATTATTATTGACGGTTTTCCAAACAATAATTTATATTTCTACATTCCATTTTTTTTTCGTAACAAGGAACATCATTGCTACTGAAAAGTCGGCTATGTATATGTATTTCCATCAAACAGGTTACCGATACATGACAACAATGACAAAAAATATATTTATGAGCATCTGTACTTCGAAATATAAAATACACACTTTGTAACGAAAATAAAAGATTATATATTAAATATCTTTTATATCAAATGTAGAGAGTATTCTAATTTTACATAAAGTAAATGTCTTTCTCTGCTTTCTTCTTAGGATCAAACAACCTACGATATTCTTATTTATACATTCACACATTAGTGTATACTCAGTCTCAACAGTACATTTTTCAATCATTTTTGGCAATATGAATTAAAAAAAACATATTATCTAGTTGCGTTTTTCCTTATTATATATCATATCTAATAATCTTTGCACAATTCATATTTTCTTTGTAATATCTGCAGTGTTTCAGAATTGAGAATACGTTAGAAGTCTCCTTAATCTAATTCAAGAATTCGGAACATTAGATCGGGTTCCTACGTGCCTTTTATCGTTTACTCACCCGCTATTATCGAACATGCTCAACCGAAACTGTCGAAATATTTGCGAGTTCCATTCAATTTTTGTCGCTAACGCGCAAAGAGAGACAAAGCGAGAACGAAAGGCGGGAAAGAAGCGAGCCGGCCTGCGCCGCGCGAAATGAAAGCGCGCGCGCTTCGGAGCAAGCTTCAGAACGCGGAGTCTGCGCGTCAAATGAAGGGAAGGAACTCACCTTTTGGTCGACACGCGCACTTCCGTCCCGCCGTCTCGATGAATGAAAACGCGCACCTCTTCCGCGCGTGACTGGAACGCACGTGCGCGAATCCGCGACACGAGGGAAGCACACGCGCGCGCGGAACCCGTGGGAGAAAAGGGGACGAACGGATGCAGCTCAAGTTAATATACACGTACGTTTATACGCGACACGCAACAACACACCTTACCTCGCGAACGGCCGTCGCGACACTGAACGCGCCGCGGACACCTGTCGCCTTCGGCCGACGGTGCCGCCGCCGCGCGGCTGAACCCCCTACCCTCGCCCTCTACCCGCGCTCACGATCGTTTTTGGTGGCACCCTAAATTGTTCTATTTGAACACAATCTTCAAAAACTGTAAATCCACGGTTTTTATACAATTTATATATATTAGGGCTCGCTATTATACGTTTAAACGAAAACATATTTACACGTACATTTAATACATCCGTTTATTAGAAACATTTTTCCGAGTATACGTGTTTTAAATCTATGGCTTATTGTTAGTATTATACGTTTAAATGAAAATACATTTACACGTATATTTAATACATCCGTTTATTACACACATTTTTCCGAATATACGTGTTTTAAATCTATGGCTTATTGTTAGTATTATACGTTTAATCGAAAATACGTTTACACGTACATTTAATACATCCGTTTATTAGAAACGTTTTTTTTTATAATTTTTTATTTCTGTATTAAGTATTTTACTTTTGAATGTATATTATTGAAATATTTATCACAGATATAGTTATGTTGTTAGCTAGAAATTGTAAGAGTACATCTATAGAAGAATTCTTTCTCTCATCTCGAAAATTTTTTTTTTGGGTGTAAGAAAACGTTTAAGTGTAGTAAAAGCAGGAGAAATATGTATACACAATAACATCAAAACAATATATTCGAAAATAAACGTTTTCAATAAATAGATGTACTAAATACAGGTAAACGTATTTTTGTTTAAACGTATAATAGCGAGCCTTACGTGTAAACGTTTTCCTAGAAGCGAATGTAAACGGATAAACGTTTCATGATTACACATATATCCGAAAAACGGAATAAAATCAGAGTCCTAATAATATCTTTGAGTTATTGAGAATTTTTATATGTGATAAATGATCCTGTTCTATGCCTTTTCGCGTATTCATTGTCAGATAAGGAGTTTGTATATAGGGTTGTATAAAATGTTGTTTAGTAATTTTAATTTCGTTATCTTGTCTTTCTAATACAGACTTTTTATTTTATAATCTCTTGATATAAAGAATTCTCCTACCCTCCTTAAACCTTTTTTTATATATACTTTATTTAAAGAAATTTTCTCACATTCATAGAATGCACTATATTTTGAAATAGACTACAAGTAATTTTTTAAAGATTTGGAATGTCTTATATACATAGCAAATTTTTTTAAATTTTGATGATATATTTTTAAAAAATTAAGATGATACTTTTAAATGTAATCTACATTTAATTTATATATATTTGGAAGTCCTAAATTAAAAATAAAGTTATTTTAGTAATAAGAGCGTGTATATATAATCAATATATTTAAAGATTGCTTTTGAACGCTATAATTTTTGCATTCTAATTAGTTCATGTTTATATATAGAATATATATAAAAAATTCTAGCATTAGAAGTAACGGCTAAAGTAAAAATCAAAAACGATTCAAAAAGTTACCGTACAAAGAATTATAATCTACCGAAGAGAAAGCAGATATAGAGAATGGCTGAAATAACAATTGGGCAGTAAAAAAATAATTAGCCAGTGCAATGTGACAAAACTATAAGCACGATATACGTATTGTCGGCTGTGTACTACAAACAAATTCTCATAGTGGGGGAGCGGGGGAGCTCACATAGTACAAAAGGCCGTTGCTGGGCCTATAGAAACGTGATGGAGGTTCATTGTGAAGGATGGTAAAGCTGCCAACTCATAATAGTGGAAAAATATAAGTAACTTTTGCATGACAATCGAGCGAAGTAATCAATTAAATAGTTACGAATCTTTTCGTTTTACAAAATTGCATTTACATTGCAATATAAATTACGAATTAACCACAAATTAAGACACAATAATTCGCATAAAATATAATTATACTATAATAAAATTGGATCTTTAAACATTAATGAAAACTGCGACGACATCATAGCGACAGAGTGATTATTAACTGAGACGCAATACACGAAGAACGAAGCAAGCACTCAACAAGCAAGACTCCTTTGTTGATTCTGCTTTGTGTGCAATATAAAAAAAAGGTGTAGAAGGGTAGCAAGAAGCTCTTTCGTGCATCCCTAGCGAGAAACAATAATGTCGCGCACACTTTCACGCCTCTTGATCTCATTCATTCTTTCGTAGGTCTTTGTTCACAGACTTTTTTCGGTATAGTCGGCGATGCACGCGTATGGACGACTATCAACAAAGATATCGAGATGCAAAAGCAAAAATATTGAAATAATAAATATAAATAAATGCATAATTTAAAAAGATAAAGCTATAAAAAGCGTATGTTCTCGCTATTTTTGACACAAGACTCGTCAGCAAATTTATTGCACTTGTTTTAAAGAATATTCTTATTTCGAGCAAAGTAATAAATGTCGTTTTACTGATAACTTTATTATAAAAAAATTTAATTCAAATATAATTTTTTTACTTTTCATGATCATTTTTACAAGAGTTTAAATACCAAATAAAAAACTAAGTAAAAATTGATTAAGAAAAAATCTAAAAAACGATATATCGATATAAATTAAAAAGAAAAGAGTATTTTTTTAAAAACTTCCAAAAAGGAATTCTATTCTTTATTTAATTTGCATTGTTTATTTTATTGTTATTTATTATATTTTATTTAATACAATTTAAAAATTTTATCGATTTGCTTTTTTAATCATTTTCTCTTTACATTTTTAAACTTTATACTGTTATATTAATTTTTTAATTTTTGTTACGTTTTCTATATTTATATACATATAGACTTTTAATCAAATGAAAGCATTATAGACATCTACATAATGTAAATTCACATGACAAAACTTACCGGAATATAGCCGTCTGGTTGAATCCTCTTATTATCACTGAAAAAAGAAGAAAACATAATCATATGCAATGATGTACATTATATATAATTGTTAAATTATGTGCAGATATCAAATATATATATAATTTACAAATATTCTTTAAATTCATACTAAATTATCATTATGAAACATACCGGTTTCTTCGTTGAATCACCGGTGTTTTCGGCGTGCTGTCATGAATAATCACCTGAGTTGCATCTATTTCTTCGCACTCTGAGCTGTTTTCAAAAGAATCTGCAATGACAAATATACATATATATATATATATATATATATATAATATTTATTTATTTAAAATACTTTAATATTTTTATATTTTAAATATCCAATTTTGTGCATATTTCTTACAGAGATCTTAATGCTGTATAGATATTCTCATTTCTCAAATAATATATCGAGTTTACTTTTTGCTCCATTATTATTTTATATTATTATATAACATGTTTTAGTATTATGGTTTCACAAAGATTTAAGCCGACCCACTTTGTTGAACATGATTCAATACATCAGACTGATACAATGTAAGCTGGGTACGATAGCATCGATGGCTAAGTGACACTAAATTCATTCTCACCCTCTTCAACGCGTTCCTGTTTACGAACACGGGAGAGAACAGAACTGTGGCATAGAGCAGCTGTATCACCGAGCATGTCATCGATGTCAGTGTGCTGACCAATGAACAATGGCAAGGTGGAGGGTCGTTTCCTTGGTGATAACCTTCGAGTTGTCGGCACATTGTCATAAGGTGAGTCCCGTCCTCCAATATATAATATTTATTTATTTAAAATACTTTAACATTTTTACATTTTAAATATCCAATTTTGTGCATATTTCTTACAGAGATCTTAATGCTGTATAGATATTCTCATTTCTCAAATAATATATCGAGTTTACTTTTTGCTCCATTATTATTTTATATTATTATATAACATGTTTTAGTATTATGGTTTCACAAAGATTTAAGCCGACCCACTTTGTTGAACATGATTCAATACATCAGACTGATACAATGTAAGCTGGGTACGATAGCATCGATGGCTAAGTGACACTAAATTCATTCTCACCCTCTTCAACGCGTTCCTGTTTACGAACACGGGAGAGAACAGAACTGTGGCATAGAGCAGCTGTATCACCGAGCATGTCATCGATGTCAGTGTGCTGACCAATGAACAATGGCAAGGTGGAGGGTCGTTTCCTTGGTGATAACCTTCGAGTTGTCGGCACATTGTCATAAGGTGAGTCCCGTCCTCCATAATTGTCCGGCGGGTCAGGTGGATTTTCGACCTGTAACAGAAATAATGAACTTAAACGTTCTGTAATCTCTGTGATAATTTATGTAAGAATTTAAATAAATCATTTGCATTTTATATTTTTAATCGTATCACATTTTTCAAAATACGGATGATAAACGCAGTAATGTAATATATTGTTATACATCAATGTCGATAATATTTTTATATTATTTTTAATATGTAATAATATATATATACGTAAATATGTATATAGAGTAATAACTGATACTAATATTTTTAACTACTAATATATAAAATAAAAAGATTCAATGATAAATGCTATATTATTTAGACAATTCAAATTATTCATTTTCATCAATCTTTTTGTTTTTTCCAACATTAAATTTTAATTGTCTAAAACAATCACATAAAGATAAAAATTCTCTTAAATTCTAAGTTTAATTTTATATGCATCTTCGAAAATAATTCAATACTTGTAACAAATTAATTACGAGGAAGTAAAAAAAAAATAATCTAAAAACTTTTATCTTATTATTTAATATAATAATATATAAATAATATTTTATTAATATTTTATTATTTATTTTATTAATATTATTTTATTATTAATCATATGTGTCATAATCTTATCTTTTTGTTTGAATTACTCCAATCTTTCAGGATCAAAGATTTATGGGATTACACAAAGCCGTTAATGTCGAGAGATTATGCGATGAATACTGCAAGATATAATAATTAATTTTACCCCTTCCGGACTCGCGCGATCTCCCAACGGCTCCTCGGATGGTGGTGGCGGAAATTCGATAGGAAATCTAGAAAGATTTTTCTTCACACGCGTTTCAGGTTCAGGGTTAACGCCGATATCGATCTTCTCGTACGACTCGGAGGAATCGGAAGTGCTATTGGCAATTTCCACGGGAATCCTGACGACCCCGTCAGGAACGTTCGAGGAGCTGTCCATCCACCATGCTTTCTCTCCGGATTCGATATGCCGGATCTTTTTAAGCGGCTTTGAAGAATAGAGGCTCTCGTTATCGACGAAACCATCAGGTTGGTCGACACTTTGACTATCGGGAGACGCCATAGGGATGACCTCTACGCCCTCCGGAACGTTCTCGGGATCATCGCTCATCCACCACGCTCGTTCACCAGATTGCTGATGCCTGATGCGGTTTCGTCGATCGGCTGATCGAAAACTGCCTCGACTGGAACCTCGTCTCGAGACGGGAGATGCCGATGAGGGTGATCTCTTTGTTTCTTCCGCTGAAACATCGTCCAACCACCAGGCACGTTCTCCCGATTCTTGTCTCCAAAATTTGAGCTTACATTTTCCTGCCGACATATGCAATAAATAAAATAACAAATATTTGAAAACTGTTAAATTAAAAGAGTTGAAAATTAAAATAAAAAATATATAGTACTAAACTTTACGTATCTAAATGTAATTTACTTATCTTACATTGAAATATATAATTATCAAATTGTATTTTATTATAAAATTTTATATTTTTATTATACATAAGTTGCAATATGTGATAACACATATTTAAGCTAGATAAATAATATATTAATATTTAAAAATATTTTTACAAAGATTTAATAATTAGCTTACCATCATCCGGCAAGGCTGTGCTAATTGTTGTGTCCTGACTGACATCTTCGTTCCATCGATTATCCTTTTCAACTCCTTCTGGAACGTTATCAGAATTTGAATCCAACCACCATGGTTTCTCCCCAGAAAACTGATTTTGAATTCTCATATTATTTTTTTTTATTTCGTCATTCCTCTCGGAATTAGTAAAACTAGAACCTTTTGACAGATTCTGGTTGATCGATTTCGAAGATGATAGCGACTGTCTTGACTTGTTACAGGCTTCGTAGTTCTCCTCGTTGGAGTCAACCCAATTACCTGATTTACTTGCATCACCTGAATCTTGACTCCTATTCTTAAAAAAATTCGTCACTGGTGCTAGTGCTCTCATCAAAAATGACTTGGCCTCTTCTGTTTTCGCTACACGATCACTTTTCGATCTTGGACTAGACGGTGGCCTGGGTGGTTTCTCCGTCATCAAAGATATCTCATCGGCCGATGATGCCAACACGCTTGTTTTTGATGATCCCGCACTGATCTTACCTCTTATTTCGAGCGATTTGGGCGATTCTGACGCTCGTTTTCTTCTCCGTTTCAAATCCGATCTGTCTGCATGTTCATCATTATCCTCGCTGCTGGAAGAATTTGCGGAGATCGACTGACTACTATTGCTAGAAACAGAAGTCTCAGATGGCCTCTTTTTCGTTCCGCAAGGTGACTTTGATTCGCCTCTCGATTCTTTCCATTTCATTGAGCCATTTGAACC